TTCGTATAACACTCTTTAAAATGTACATTTGGCGGGTTGCTAAGATTTTGTAAGATTTGTGTAGTTCGTGAGTTCAGAAACGGATTGGTTTAAAGAACATACAAGAACACCTTCAGTAATGCTCTCTGAGCCCTTTCAAGAGTTATTAAATAGGACTTAGCTGCTCCACCCCATGCTGTAATGCAGTAGCTTAAGACCGATTGGGCTAGAGCTTTATACGTACATATAAGGATTTTATTATCTGCGACATGTCTGAGCCTTCTAAAAACCCACATAAGCTTCCTTATCTTGTCAATGGTACACTCAATTTGTCTGTTCCATATAAGATGCTGGTCGATAGTGATACCTAGATATTTAATAGTAGACGATCTAGCAATATCAACACATTGACAATTTTTCACCTGGTGTTGGGAGCAACTATGAATTTTAAGAGCAAAGTCCGAGTATGGTAAGGTAGATTTTCGTATCACAAAAGGAACAAATTGGGTTTTTGATACATTAAGAGTTAATAGATGTGATCTTAAGTAATTTGATATATGTCGTAATCCTGATTCAGTCGTAATTCTAAGAGAATCCCAACTATTGGCCGTTGTTAACCATCCTCCATTTCATGTGACAATACTTCTCCTATCCCATATTCTGAACTGTCGCAGGTAATAACTACTGGCTTATTTACATCATAATGAACTAGAGTTAAATCAAATGCGAGTAAGCTTTTAGCCATGTCAAATGAACTTTGCTCACATTCAGACCATGCCCATGTCTGTGAAGTCTAATAATCAATGCAATGGCTCGAGTACTGTCGCTTTATGAGGTATGAACCTTTCATAAAAATTGTACAACTCGAGAAATGCTTACAGTTCTCGTTTATTTTTGGGCGCTGGAGTATGTACTATAGATTCGACTTTACTTGGTGCAGGATGTATTCCTTCAGAATCGATAACATAGCCTAAAAATTCGACTTTTTCTTTAGCAAATTGACATTTCATTTTATTTAAGCGTAATCCTGCCCGCTCAATTCGACCTAGTACTAAATCTAATCTTTTTTGCATTTCTAACATACATAGGCTGCACTAAAAGTATCGGGAATGGAATATTTCCACAGTTCCTGTCATATTAAAATCTTTTTAATTGAAAAGTCCTTGGCTTTTTAAAATTGAATACCATTTATTTATTTAAAAAAAGATTCTCGGTCTTGTCACAAGATTTTGTCAAACTTGTTTAGTCGTTGAGAAAATGGAATTGACTCGACAAAATTCAAGAGCGATGATTTATTATGACTTTCGAAGTGGTTTAAGACAAAAACAGTGTGTTGACCGGATGATTTCTGCATTTGGTGATGAAGCCCCATCCAAAACCACAATTTATCGCTGGTTTGCTGAATTTCAACGTGGACGTGTCAAGCTCAGTAATAATCCCCGTCAAGGTCGTCCAATAAACTGCAGTCACCCAAGAAAACGTTGATCCTGTGCGTAAGCTGATTGAGGAAGATCGACATGTGGCATACCGCGAAATTCAGGTAACTTTAGACATTGGCATGAGTCAAATACAAATAATCTTGCATGAACAATTAGGTGTAAAAAAGTTGTTTTCCCGATGGATACCGCAATCGCTCTGTGAAGAGCAAAAAGCGGCTCGCGTTACTTGGTGCATCAGAACTCTCGAAAGATTCCACGCAGGATCCTCAAATGCTGTATACAACATCGTATCAGGTGACGAATCCTGGATATATGCGTACGAACCCGAAACAAAAAACCAGTCACGAGTTTGGGTGTTCGAAAATGAGTTAAAGCCAACAAAAATTGTTCGTTCACGGTGTTGCAAAAAAAATGGTGGCCACGTTTGTCTCTAAAACCGGCCATGTTACGACTATTCTTCTTGAGGGACAAAGAATGGTTAATGCAGAATGGTATGCTAGCATTTGTTGGCCACAGGTCGTTTCTGAACTCCGTAAAGAGAACTACAACCGCCGCATCATCCTCCATCACGACAATGCGAGTTCTCACACCGCACACAGGACAAAAGAGTTTTTAGAGCAAGAAAACATAGAATTATTAGACCATCTGCCGTACAGCCCCGACCTAAGCCCTAATGATTTCTATACTTTCCCTAAAATAAAGAATAAATTGCGTGGACAGAGATTTTCATCACCTGAAGAAGCTGTGGACGCCTACAAAACGGCCATTTTGGAGACCCCAACTTCCGAATGGAATGGTTGCTTCAATGATTGGTTCCATCGTATGGAAAAATGTGTCAAATTTCGCGGAGAATACTTCGAAAAGCAATAAATACATTTTTAAATAGTAATGTTGTGTCACTTCCTTGATTCCCGAAATTTTCAGTGCCGCCCTCGTTTGTGCCATGTCGGCTCGTTAATTAGAGAAAAACTAGCTCCTGTATCAACTTGCATATGGATTGGTACGCCTGCAAGTGACAAGTCCACTTCGTATGGTGGAACACGGCTATTAGTATGAATGCAATAAACTCCATTTAAATGATAATCTGATTCTGATATATACTTTATTTGCTGAGAAGAATTCTTATTCTTACTTATGGAAATTTTCTCCAAATGTCCTTTTTTCTTGCAATACCGACACACTGTATTTACAAAACGACATTCTCCTGAATGGCGGTCACCGCAACGATAACAAAAGCGGACATTTGCTCTTGATTGTACAGCATTTATATCCATCGGTTCACTTGTACCACTCGCTGAACTGTATGGTAATGCTAGTTCTGACTGAGTCATAGCTCCTGTTGTGTTGCCTTGAATCATACGAACATCTAGCCCTGCACTTTTGGCTGATAACATCGCATCAACTACATCTTGATAACGCAAATTGTCTCGTTTCAATAACTCATATTGCAGTTTACTGTCACACATACTGCATACCAGTCTATCCCTTAACATTCTTTCTAAGTCAGTAAAGTTACACCCCGAACTGAGTTTTCGTAAATGAGCAATGTATTCTGAAGCACATTCATCACGTTTTTGATTCCAATTATAAAATTTATAACACACAGAAATTTCGTTAGGTTTTGGGCTGTAATTTATTTATTTATTTATTTATTTATTTAGAAAACCAACAGCGTATATAAAAAATATTAACATTAATGTAACAAACTAAAAGTATGGCCAATAACAGGTTTCCCTTATATTGTTTGATGGTAGGTGTAATGATTTGTTAAAATTATTTCTATTTCACTGAATGTCACATCAACCGCTTTTTTTGGAGTGATTAATGCAAATAATGTTTCGTAAACTCGTGGACCACACACTGTGAAAAAATTTGCTCTTTTAGCAGAATCTAATATGACGCCGTTAGCGTCGAAACAGAATTTTAAATGGTCTAGATAATTGTCCCAACTATCTGTTTGAGGATTGTACTAGTCGAATTTCACTGATTTTATGTCCATTTTTAACACTTTTCACCAGTCGTCGCCACTAATATGTTCAGAATATAGAATAAAACACATTGGTTGAATATTGGAATATTGAATATGTATTAAGCTTGGTAGCATTACAAAAGACAAGTGTCATAAGTGAATATTAAATTACCTACATTCAATTTACTTTATTAATGAACAAAGTAAACAAGTACCCCCAAATATAATAACAATAAATCTTTGAATATGACAGGGGTCAGTAAAGATATGGGGAGATATTTGTATTGGGGTACGTACGGAACTGAGCGTCATTGAGAATAGGTCACTAACAGTAGCAAGATATGTAACTCAGATTTCGGAACAAATTGTGCCATTTGCCCCTTTTATAGGAAATAAATTTATTTTATGCATAATAATGCACGCCCCCATACTGCGGCTGTAGTTTTCGGATACCTGAGAGACGTTTAAATCAATGCTATGGGATGGCCAGCGCGCTAGTTCGTCTCAAATCTCATAGAGCATGTATGGAAAAATCTTAGAAGACAAATTAAGAAAATAAATCCAGGCACCTCTAATTTGACAGATCTTAAAAACGCATTACAGGAAGAACGGAATGCAATCTCCCGAGATTTTATTGCTAACTTCATTAAAAGTATGCCAAGGGAAGCAGTTCGAAGAGCTAAAGAGGGCAACAGTAAGTTCTTATTATAGCCCACGTTATAGCCTTTCCTAAAGATTTATGGAAAAAAAAATGTTAAGTTCAAAAATATTCTTTTCCTATAAAATTTTTCTTTTCTTAATTTGGCTAATTTTGTCATTTGATCTTAATATGTTTTTTCAACATTTGCAATTTTAAACTAAGTTCTAATTAATTAATTGTCACAAATATCTACATATTTTGTTTTATACAAACTTTTTTGCACTTCTTTAAATTTGTCCATGAGTGTATCATTAACCAACAGAAATTATCACTTCTCCAACCCAAGGTCAAATATGGCTGTGAGTGTTGAACCAATTGTGAATAGCCTAAACTTTAAATTCAAAACATCATAAATGTTTATATAATTTGATAACAATCAGTATTATGATACTATTTATGACTTTTTTATTAAAATTAAAAAAAAAATTAAGATTAATCTATCAACAGCTAACCATCACACTTGCACATCATATTAACTAATAAACGTGAAAATAAGCTAGAAAATTAATTTCCATTGGTAAAGTTGTTTATTATAACATGAATGTATGGTGACTGAAGGGAACTAGGTACTAGTAACAAGGTTTTAACATTGAATTCTTCTGGATTTTTTTTTCTTAATAAATGGTAGATGTAGGTGTCACAAATTCTTAATTACATTTACAAATATAATTTAGAAGTATTCAATATTGAAAAAATAGAGTAATGGATATGATCAACCAACAAACATTCAGCTACGCTTTATAAAGTTAAATAACACCATCACAAAATGCTACATTATGATTATTTTTTTACAAACACAGGGGCATTTACTTTCCTCCCTTTATGTCTGAGACTAAGCAGAAATTATACCCATTTTTTTTAAACGAAAATCTTTATTAAAAGCAAGTTTGATTTTTTTGAATTTCATACTTACCTACATAGTCTTGACTGGGTATGGAACGACTATTTTGTGGCATATAATCTTCTTGAAAAGATGGAGCCTCATCCCACCACTTTCCATAGGTTCTCTGCAAATTATATACACATGAAATAAAATGCTCAGTGAAATAAAATATAAGTTCCTAAGACATTTAAAAAATATGTTTAAACAGTAATGCCAACATAATATTATGACAATTACATTAAATAATACTTATATATAACAAATTTTATCATAAACATCCTAAACATACTTTGAGTGATATTAGTAATGTTAGTAGAGTTTGTAGCATTATTTTTATAAAAAAAAAAATGTTGTTTGTATCAAACATGGCCCCCTTTTCACTTAAAAAAGGTAAAAGTTTCATCTTTACATAGTATAAGGCTTGAATTCCTCCTAAGCTGAGGTTGGTTGCGTACGGGCGGACGCATACGCGTGCGTAGCAAACTACGCGCCATTGTCGTCAGTGTCGTAGTGTGGGGCTATATAGAACACAATGTACATTAGTAAGCGTGACCCACGTCGGCATAGGAGGAAATCAGGTCTAAAACAAAGTTGCTTCCCACCTTCTGTACACTTAGATCTTTTAAACCATGCAATGGATTTTGATGCGGTTTTCATTAATAGACAGAATTATTTAAGAGGAAGGTTTATATGTATAATACATATATATTATATAATTCTTCTAACTGTGTGTATGTGACTGAACTCCAACAGCTGGACCGATTTTGATGAAATGTTGTGGGTAAGATTAAGTTGATTGGAGAATGGTTTAGATTCACAATTGGACCTGGTGGGTGGCATTGTTGTGGAGATCCAGAAATCAACCATGTAAAGCTGGGGCAGATCACTAGTTGTTTATAAATCTAAATAAAAACTTCCCCGCCAATGTTGTTACACTGCACCATATTCCTTTTTTTAATTTGGACTATGTACTAATATATAATACATAGGTAAAAATTAGATGTCAACAAATTTATTGGTGCTAGCTGCTATTTCAAGTAGTGTACTTGGAATACTAAGAGCACCTATAACTTTGTTGACACTTTCTACATACCAATGTAAGTAAGCTAGAAGTGGCTTAGGTTTTTGATCAGCAGTCAAACATATGCCTCCTATATGTGATATGCCAATAATTTGTCATTTCAATCACAGACAAGATAGGTAGCCATGAAGTAAGCTACCATCTGAACATTCTACAATTTACAAAAGTCAGTTTTTACCAATAGACAAGTATAATTTTCCTCAACATTATAAAGTGTAAAAGAAGCAATAGTGTAAAGCTTGATTGTGAATGCAGGGCTCACAAAAGGCATGGAAATTACCCAATAACCAATTTTATTGTTATAACTCTTGTATCAATTATATTACATAGCTGATCTAGATAGCTAGATTAGATGTATCTGCATTGTCAGGACTTAACCTTGTGTCTTAAAATAATATTTTGATATTGTTGCCGTGGTCCGAAATTAATTAACCTAGTCAACTTTGGTTCATTATGAAAATTATCGACCACTATAAAAATTAAAGTGAAATAGAGAAACTTACGAAAAATCATCAAATTGAATTTTTTTCAAAATAATAAACAAAATAAATAGTTCGTATAGAACTGATCTACTACTTTTAGGAAACCGCTAATAGCACTGCTTTGATATTAAATTAAATTTACCATAACAAACGCCTGAGGATAATCTCCATAATCTGGAAAATTCGAAGGTGGCCCACGAAGATTAAAAGCTGTATATGAAACACTAATTTCACTTCCATACTGCGAACTGAAATCTTCAACATTTTGAACAAATTGCTGTATTATTTGAGAGTTACTTTCTTCATCTGGATATTCGTTGTCCTTAAACCACAATAAGGATGATATTATATCTGATGCACTTTGCATTTTTATTATTTCTGGAAACTAAACGTCCGAAAATTCTTTTCGGTGCGGCGTCAACTTCTTATTCTTACTAGAATGTTTATCATATCACAATATCACTTCAGAGAATGCCAAATGCCAATGACATGAAGCTAGAAGCAAGGAACAAGAACAATAATATTATTACGAAAACTTTTTTTAATAACTGGCTTTACGGCTCTGGGTTCTAGCCTTTCTGTGTCTGAAGTTACAATGTATAATTATCCTTCATAAGTACAGTGCTTCATAATATGTTGATGCGTCACATTGTGCAGCCCTTGGGAGATTTTGACGGCAATTTGAGCCAGCAGTAGAGATGAGTTGTACTAGGCAAATTATGTACTAGGTGCACTTAGTCTAAATCCGTACAAATAATCGATTCAAATACCTGTTATTTAAAAGATTGCAATTCATTTTTTATTTAAGAGTAATCCGTTTTTGTCTTTTTTTTCGGTTATTTTTTTATTATTGTTGTTTCTTTTTTTTAATTACCTATCTACAATTTTGTTTTTACATACGCGCGAAAAATCAGTCTTAAGAGTTTTTAAAACTTAATTATATTTTACAAATGTTACACTCACACATTTGTTGGCATTTGTCCGTAAAAGGATCCCAAGCGACAATGCTGCAATTTTTTTAAAGCAATAAACACTTCAATGTCTAATAAAAAAAAAGTAATAGTTCTTTAACCACATAACAAAACTTCGTTATGAAAACCTATTACAAAATAAGTCGAGTAAGTATAATTCGATACGGTGCCGATATTACGTTCGCATTAGTCCGTACTATGCTCTGTCATATCATGTGCATCATGACCATATGATGCACTCGACTGCATCATATAGTCTCCATACGCATCGAATATTTACTAGTACCTAGTCTATAAAATCTGCCTAGTATTTGGTTGAAGTCCCCGGGACTAGTCCCGACTAGTCTCGAGTATTGACAGACAAAGATAGAAAGACTGCGGAATAATGTAGTTAAAAAAGGACAGAATATATTCTTGCACAAAACGAGTGCGCGTCGTGTTACTTTTATACACATTGAAATATAATTCAAATTCAAATGACTGACACACCGATGATTTAGGCAAACACCATATCAATATTAAAAATCTTTTATGTTGTATATATCTTGTATGTAACATCGATCACTAATAAAAAACTAGATACACAATCCCATACAAAAGTTCTCTAAAAACTGTCGCCAAATGTTTTGACGTATTTCTAGTTGATATAAATATACATTAATGTAAATTCAACCTTAAGTGAAACGCCTAAAGTTGTATTGACAAAGCAACGTACAAAAAGCAATAAAATTTTACGACCGAGGCTCGTCGCTTGGACAAGGAGAGTGGAGTCGAACTGCACAATATATTTTGTTACTGTAATTTTAATTTTACAATTTTTTTATACTTGTTTTAAATCTACTTAATAAAGCATATTCTATACTATTCTATGGTGTATATGTGTAATGGTTATGTTATTACCTGAATGTAAATATGCTTTTGGGTAGGGCACCACATTCATTTAGTAATGAAAGTAATTGAAACAGTCATAATTATTTATATATTCTTTATCTTGTGTGAAAAATTTAAGGCTCAGAGTCGTGCCGAACACTGTAGCGCAGAGAGTAGCTTGAAGGAACAGGAAGCATTATTATTCCAGTGCTGCGATGAACCTTTATAAAGCTAGATGGCTTGCAGAATGTGAAGACTGCAGACAATATCTGCTCGGGAGCGAATTAATGGGATACTTGAGGATGATGAAGGTTTGAAGGTGTAGTTTTCGATGGTTTGTTGGTTCCATGTTCATATCACGTCGGGGTCACCACTGTAGCCGGTGGAAGGAAAAGAGGGGATCTCCCGCCGGGCAAGGTGTTCTGCCCGGTAAGCGGCCAACGCTCCGAGTGGTAGTTCGGAGCTATTCTATACAGGGTATTTTTGGAACGCTCCCGAAAACTAAGACAGGCGACAGCATCAAGTATACCTTTGATCATGGGTCACAAATAAATTCGATCCTGATGAAAAAAAAATCATCATTTTACAACGTTTTATTAGCTTTATTCACGCGCCATCATGTTAGTACAGCTAAATGAAACGATAATTTCATTAAAAAAAATCATGAAAATACTGAAACATAATACCAGCAGTGGAATTACTGAATTGATATCACCTGACTAGTTGCGGGCCATACCACAATACCTAATAATTTACAGCACTTGTCTAAATACCTAACTTATCTAATTAACCTACTATTTTGCCACTGTACTTGTCTCCACGTAGCTACTTTAATCCGAATTTACAGGTTAAATAACCAAAATAACTGGTTCGATTTCCCGCTAATGAAAAATTACTTAAATGAAATGTAACCAAGGTTAGAGTCTTGCGTTTTTATTCATCGTGTAGGTATGTTTATTATTTTCATGTATTCAGTTATGTACCTATTCAGATTAGTTCAGTACTAAGTTATTTAAAAAAAATAGTTATGAAACAGCTTACCGCTCTAAATCCTCCGTGGTCTTATGAGATGCGGCTCAAATTTTGCTCCATTCATTTCAAGGCAGATTTGGGCTCGGTGTTGCGTCTCCTCATGAAGGCGGGGGATCATCGTGTGGTCTTCGACACAGTCCGTACGTAGTTTGTCGAAAACATCCACGATCCTTTTGTAGTTTCGTCAGCACTATCACACTCACGATTAAAAACCCTTTCTTTCACATACCCCACAGAAAGAAGTCTAACGGGGTCAGATATGGTGAGCGAGGTGGCCAAGCGTGCGGTCCTAGTCCGCCAAATCCAGCGATCATCAAATAACTCGGTGAGGCGCTCACGGACGCACCTCACGACATGTGGAGGTGCACCATCATGCTGGAACCATGTGCGGCGATATTCAGCCAACGATAAGTCATCAAAAATGTCAACCAACTGTTCATTTATAAAGTTTAGGTATCGCTGTCCGTTCAGTCGCTGTGGCAGAAACACTGGTCCAAGTATGCGATCCTTAAATAAACCTGCCCATACGTTAACCGACCATCGGGTTTGGTGCCCGGTTTGTCGAACAGCGTGCGGGTTAACCTCTGAATACACGTGTGTATTTCTTCGGTTCCACAGGCCGTTTCTGGTAAATGTAGACTCATCCGTCCAGATAATGTGCTCAATGAAACCAGGCACACGTTGTTGCTAGTCTAATAACCAACGGCAGAAAACTCGTCGGCGTTCGTGATTTCCGGGAACCAAAGCTTGCACTTTGTGCAATTAGTATGGGCGCATCCGGTTACGCTTCAACACTTTGTGCACCGCACAGTATGACACACTTGTTCCATCCCGACGTCTTAACAATTTATTTAGCGATACTTCGTGTACCTAGGTTCGGATACCTAACATGTTGCCGTATTCACCAACACTATAAACGAACGCGTTAGGCATTATTAAAACAAAAAAGAATAAAAAAACGTAACAACAACAATAATATCAACACGTAATAACAATAACAATTTAATAAACAAAATGATTGAACTGTCGCTCGCGCACGAGTGTACAAAATCAACACGGAACTGCCTCAAAAACTAAAACGAACGAACCCCGCTAAGACTGAAACCTACTGCGTCACAGCGTGAGACGACTGGGTTAGGCATTCTGCCGTCATAATAAAGAAAGACGCAACTAACAAAAACGTAAAATGGAAAGTAAAAAAAAATAGATCAATTTTTCTTTCAGACCCTGCTGTGTCTAAAGTATATTAAAAGGTATCAATATGAAAATTGAAATATATACGTATAGACATGAAGATTTTAAAGACCAACTTATTTTTTTGATAATTTGTTTATTTATTTAAATAAAACGAATTTCCCTTTTCATCGTAGCTTAAAAATACACTTGGCAACACAAAATCATCGAATGAAAGATGCATATAACCATTTGCGTCTTTCCAACCTAATAAATAAAAAAACTGCCATTCACTTAACATTTTTACATATTTTGGAAAGGTTATTTGAAGTTGAAAGAACGCTAATAGTAATTTACTACTTTTTTTTTTATTATTAGTAAATATTAGAAAAGCATTGGTAGTGAGACACAAAAAATAAAAACCCGCAATTCTTCAGTAATGATTTTAAAGGGGATATCATACAAGACTTACTACGATAACAATTAAAAATTAAAAATTTTGTACAACCGACTTCAATATAAATAATTAAGGATAACTCAAAAACTATTGGTCTGACCTCGATGAAATTTATATGGAACCACATGTGAAACACCAGCTCTTAATAATAAGATATAGAATAATAAGACAAGAATAATCGAAATTTAAGTAATCGATGCAAATATTGTTAAAGATGACGTAGCAACTGGTTAAATAAGTCTTTTCTTTTATGTTGAATTTGTATAAGTCTTTTCTACTAAAAAAATGTCATCTGTGATCAACAGTTACGTTTAAAATTCTTACGATATTTTCTAAAATATTGATATTTTTGAATATTAAAAAAAAATAGTAGATGCGCCTTCTTATCATGAGTCGAAAGGTATATTTAACTCATTTATTCAAAAATTGTAAGATGCGACCTTTTTTCTTATGACGGCAGCATTGTTTCGCACCGAGCTAGATACAGGTCGACAGTGGAGGGAGTGTGGGTACAGTCGCATTCTAAAGTACTATATGGTATTGGGCTATTGTTTTATAATATTATAGTAATTAATTGTTTTATTGTAGAATCATAATAGGTGTTTTACTAGCTACTTAGAACTTTGGAAGAGGTTGGAATTCAGAATGGATAATGTTTACTTGAGCATTATTTGTTATTTCTATCGTAAAATATAAAGTAGTTTGTAACAAGAAAACTTAAGCTAAGGGTGACACGCCGTCCATTATGTCGTCTTGGGTCACATGGAAGCCAGATGTTGATGGTGTGTTGGTGTTACTGGATGCTACTTTATCATCACTTTCATCTTCGCTTGAGCTTCCGTCATCAGGTCGATCACATGGTAA